CGGATCTATAGTGAAATGTATCTTTCCTCTCTTCCAGACAGGGTGCAGCAGGACCTGTTCTGTATATCCTCCGACTGAGTAGCAACAGCGACTCAGTGCCAGGCCAGACATCTGCAGCAGCTTCTTTACGCTTCCTTCTACCTGACTCCCACGTCCAAAGATCAAACAGGTGTTTGGGTATTCTTTCTTTCTTTTTTCTATTTCTAATTCTATTTCCATTTCTCTCTGTCTCTGTCTCTCTCTTCTCCCCTCCCTCCCTCCCCCCCCTCCATGAGGTTATCTGACCATGTGGCAGCTAGAGGTTGGTACTGGGCACCCTCACCCCCATCTCTTCTCCGTCTTATTTCTCAGACATTGTCTCTCATGGAGCCCAAAGCTGTATAGACGTGCTAGCCAGTGGACTTTAAAGAGCCTTCTGTCTCCTCCAGTGCTGGGAGGTGCACACCACCATGCCTGCCTTTTTACATAGATGCCAGGGATCCAAAGTCCAGGTTTCATGCTTTGCCATTGAGCCGTGCCGCTACCTCATCTGGTGTTATTTCTCCTTTTAAGTAGCTCACGTCTGCAGTCCTCTATTCCTTTGAATCCCTCTCTGCTTTTGTCTTTACCATTCTGCACTGCAAAATCAAACTGCAAAACGTCACCATGCCCAGTGCTTCTGTTTATAAGATTCTGGGCAGATGGCTGTTCAGAACAATTATCACGGTCAATAATGTAAGAGAACATAGTAAAAACTTAGTGTAACTATCTGCTTAGGTGTTCCTTTCAGTTCCGTGTGAGACACAAAGAGCTACTGAGTACAAACAATCTGAGGTTATAGGCAGAGGTGCTGTAAGCGACTGTATAAAATCCTGAGTAAACAGAAAATGAGTAATTCAGAGCTACTGGGTATACTGAATTGGGGAGTAAGGTTTTTGAAAGAGGGACAGCATTTCTGTAATGGAGGAGACAGACGTTTGCTACTGAGGCAAAATAATCCTAGATAATTCTATTACTCACGCTAGGCCCTGGAACCTGACTTGCATGCTGTTCTTCGTAATGAGGTGAAGCTGCATATGCTCTTGTTCTGAGCAGCTCAGCGCATGAGTCATCTGTATTCCATTTATGTCACTATATGTGTCATAACTGTTAGTCACTCAGGAGCCCAATGGATTGTCAGCATGCCAGGACTGTCTGTGGTCAGTACTTGTATGCAGGTAACCTTGGTTTTGTTTATCATGTTCAAAGCACAAATTTAGTTATGTTGGCAACTCAGATATGCCCAAGAGCAGCTGGAGAGTGCACCTCTTAAGAGAAAATAAATACTGTAAGATACTTGGAGGAAGGGGATAGAGTACTTATTTTTCTTCTTTTGAATAGGGCCTCATTCAATAGGGCCCCTGGCTGGCCTGGAACTTAGTGGTGGCCTCAAACACACAGAGATCTTGTACCATTATGCCCAAGTGTTGGGATCAAAGGCACAACAGCGGCTGTGCACATATCTTTATTATCACACATGGGATTAGTGCTGTATTGCTAGTCATTGCTAATGTCTTACTCTGTCTTTTATAAATCAAATAGGCGTGTGTGTGTGTGTGTGTGTGTGTGTGTGTGTGTGTGTGTAGGATTTAATATTGTCTGTGGTATCAGGTATCCACTGGAGTTACTGTATTCCCTACAGCTAAAGATTACTCCATTGTGCAAATCATTGGTGAAATTAATATACACATAATTATCTATCCTATCTATCTATCTATCTATCTATCTATCTATCTATCTATCTATCTA